TCTTGGCAGGTTTTGTCTCTGCTACAGCCACAGCGGCAAATTCTCAAGCCTCCACCTCCATTCAAAAACTAGATGCGCTTGGAGACTTTCATTCTTGTCTGCGGTAAGCCTCCAATGCACTTTTTTTTATACCTTCCAGTGTTGTGGAGAATTGATGACGGAAGTGGAAGTTGATAAGAAAGGTGAACGAGAGAGAGAGAGAGAGAGCCTATCGTTTGGAAGGGCAGTTGTCTTTTAAAGAAAGCATATAGTAACTGTATTTCTGCGGATTCATCTTCCTTTCGCTGTTTTCTTCTCAGAGACTACCTGCTGTATTGTTGTTATAATATTAATAATAATAATAATAATAATAATAATAATAATAATAATAATAATAATAACTATTATTATCATAATCATTATTATTACTATTTCTCAATTTTAAAAGTCTGATACCCCTTGACCTGATAACCGTTCTTAAACAACAGTAGAGAGAATGAATACATTCTACCATCCTTTTTAGGATGAAATTTTTCGTTTTTTGAAGCCCCATCCTGGCTCTTGCCGGGGGTCGCAATATAGTCAGGCCATAAATATGGCCTAATGGCTAAACGCGGTTTCTAGGACCTCTCCAGGGTGATCCTTATCCACATGGTGGCACTTTGTGTCATCGGGTGTTTATCGCTTGTGTGATGTTCTGGTGGGGTAGAAAGTCAGTCAGTCAGCAGCCTACCAAGAGCGTTTCCCAATGCCATAACTCCATAGCTCCTCGGATCGTGAAACGAACCCACCCTGGTTCAACCTGATCGTTACGGAGACCCCTGCTTTCACATATTATAGGAGCTCAGCCCACTTCCCACATAGAGAAATTAGACAGACTAAACCAGTCCTAGTGTGTACTTTGACTTCAGGTCAATGTCATCAGTTAAACATTACTCATGTTGCACGCTTTTCATAAAACGTCGCTCCAATCACCTTGCAGAAGCAACCCCAACAGTCCCTGGCTGTTGTGTGGTTTTTCTAGGCAAATTTACGTCCAGTAGTTTGACATTACTTCTGGACGGTCGGCTTTCTTGATACCACTGTCGAAACCAACACAAGGTGCATGGCCCGCAGCTGGATCGAACCCGGCATCCCGGCATTACCAACCGTTCGCATCGACTTAGCCACAGAGCCGACGCTCCAAACACAGCCTGATTTAAAGAAATGTAGTCCCTCATCAGCTTCCTCGTCACAGGTACTTTCCTGCCCAGTGTGTCCCTTATGTCCAATGCTCATTTTCGTGTTGGCCTGCCCCTGCCCTTCTTGCCAATACCATTTTCCCGCTACTGTTACCGACTGAGCAACTGTTCGTTATGAAATTTATCCATCTTTGTTGAAGGTCATCTAGAGTTATGAGTCCACTATACTGAACTTGATTTTATCCCAAATAGCTCAGTTCTTTTCTGTAAAACAGCAAGCCCAAAGCACAAACTCCGAAGCCTTAGTGCCGATCCACAAAAATAATCCTAATGTGGTATGTTTTACTTCAGAGATCACGGGTGAAGAGGATCATCTGTTTCTTTTCTCCTGGGTCATGCCGGTGTGTTGGGAACTGAACAGTGGGATAATTTGATGGCTGTGCACAGCTTAGGGGATTACTTGTCTTGTCTTGTCTTGTCCACAATTGCCTCACAGCGTAGTGGGGAGTCGCAGTTTTCTATCCTGGGCCAGGTGTGTTGCACGTGTTGTTGTTAGTCTGTGTTGCCTCAGGATCTCTGATATATTGTCTATCCATCGTTCTCTCGGTCTGCCTCTTGCTCTAGGGCAGTAGTGCTGTTCGTTAGGGGATTACTAATGCATGATAAGGCAGGGGTGGTTAGGGCTTCATGAGAGCTGGTGTACGATTCAGTTGAGTACATTAATCACCACTGTCTGGCGAGAGTGATGCAGTCAAGAGTGATATGGTGGTCTGGCTGAGACTCGATGCTCAGAGAAAAGACAAGACGGACGTATAATCACACTGCTACTGGTACAATTAGTATTGGAACTCCCCGCTGGCTACTGACAATAGAGACGGATGCGTTATGTAAATGCTCCCAGTGCTGTGGTGCATGTTCTTAAATCAGATCAGCTAAACTAATTCCTGTGCCCCTTGTCCACTGATTTTTTTCCCTTCCAAGTTGACCCGCTGTCCAAAGCTTTGAGAACCCATGATGTTTAGAGAATCGACCCTCGTTGGCAAATTGCCAGGACAGACTCTCGGGAGTCCGTTTAAATTCTACGTAAATTGCAACTGTGTCACACGTACAGCTACATCCAGGGGAGATAGAATCTAAAGACGCATTCACCTCGTCCTCCCTTTCCCTCCTTCCCTCTTTATATTATTTAAAGGTGTTAACCCCTCCGCTTTTTGCCCCCCCCCCCCCCCCCTCCCTCTCCCCCCCCCCCAAATCCTACATATTGCTATAGGAGACTCAACAATGAGAATGACCTCCATTCCCATTGATGCCTTCATCTTGTGTAGCGCCTCTACTAAGTCGCAGGGGTTTCAGTGAGTCGTAGTTTTCTCCTTGTTGTCAGCGGCTGCCGATATCGCCTCTTCTATTCTGTAAGTGCTTTTAACGGTCCCTAAACATATACAAATGGGCCTAACACCAACCCCTCCCTTACTTCGCAGCCGCAGTT